TGCCGAACCACCGGGCTGAGAAGAAGCCGCTCGGCGGCCCCCAGCCCGCAGGCCGACGGCCCCCGGGCCAGACCTCCTTCCCAGCCCGCTCGCGCTCCCGGCCGCCGACTCACCAGCTGCAAGACTTTGAGAACTTGCCGGTACCACCGGAGCCGGCCTTGAAGAAGAAGGCAGCGAGGCCGCTGGCGGGGCCTCTGACGGGGTCCGGATCCTCCTCCGTGGTGGGCCTGTACACCTCTCCGTTCTCCATCGCCCAGGGCCGGGGAACGCGACGGCCGCAGCAGCAGCAGCAGCGTCACTGGCTTCGCGGACTTCGCGAACTCCAGAAGTCGCCGGGAGCGCAGAACGCCGTCACTTCCTGGGCCTTCTCCCCGCTTCCTGCCGACTCCGCCCTCGCCCGCGCCTTCTCCGGCCGCGGCCCCGCCCCGCCTTCCCCACACAGCCCCGCCCCACTCGCTACACAGCCCCTCCCCGCTCTCTCTACACAGCCCCCCATCTTCCTCCCACAGCCCGCCCCGTCTCTCCTAACGCCCCGCCCGTCTTCCTACCCACCGCCACGCTCTCTACATAGCCACGCCCCGTCTTCTCTACCAGCCCGCCCCATCTTCCTAACCAGCCCCGCCCCACTCTCCCTACACAGCCCGCCCGCCTTCCTACACAGCCGCCCGCGCCCTTACCCGCCCCGCTGCCTACCAGCCCCGCCGCCTGCCCTACCAGCCCGCCTGCCTACCCCGCCGCCTGCCTACCGCCCGCCTGCCTACCAGCGCCCGCCTGCCTACCGCGCCCCGTCTGCCTACCCCGCCCGCCTGCCCTACACAGCCGCCGCTGCCTACCCAGCCCGCCCCGCCTGCCCTACCCAGCCGAGCTCGCACCCCGCTGTAGCTCCAGACCTTAACTCCTCAAACTTGTCTGGTTGGGATTCTGGCTTTTGGCCAAGATTGGAGTTCTTTCTGTGGGCTTTTATTTCTCACTTCCTTCAATCTTCCATCTTCTAGCTATTCATTCATTCATTCAATCAATCAATCAATCAAATCAACAATCAATGTTTTTTGAGCACTTGCGTGTGAAAGAACCCTGTTCTAGGTGCTGGGATTACAGACAAGCCAAAGACACAAGCACCTGCCCTCTCAGTGCTACCTGCTAGTAGGAGAGACAGGCAATAAACAGTAAACAGATTAATAATTTCAGATAGTGATATGTGACATGAAAATAATGTGATGGGAGGTGGGTGCCGAATAGCCACTGTGTATTAGGAAAGGCATCTCGGAGACCTTCCTATTGAGTTAAATGAGACTCAAAGTATGAGAAGCAGCCAGGCTGTGAAGACTGGGAGAGACTTTCATGCGAGGGGACAGCAAATGCAAATGTCTGTGGCCAAATGAGCAGTGTTACTGGGCTAAGTAGGAAGGAGGACAGGAGATGAATTAGAGATGGGGCCAAAGGTCAGTAATGTATAGAAGCCTCGCAGACCAAGGAAAATTTGGATATCATTTACATATAATAATTGTCTGGAAGGACTTCAGATCCGCTCTCTCCTGCCTCGCCTCCGAATTCCTTTAGGCTTACTTGTCAAATCATTGTTTTGTCTTTCTTGGTCACCGCTTCTTACCACATATGTTACTTTTATGTGAGCTTAGGAAACTCATGAAGGAATGTAATTATATTTAGCAACCGAAGTTGATTGAGTTATGGTCAGGCTGCACACCTATTTTCTCTACAGCAATGTAAAGTAGATACTATCATTATCTCATTTTGCAGATGGAAAACTGAGGCCAAGAGGTTGAGTATCATATCCAAAGTTCAAACCAGGAGCAGCTGGAGTACAGGCCTGGCAGTCTGACTCACAACCTTGCTGTTAACTAACCACTAACCAGAAAACTTAAGATCTCAAAACCTATGGAAGAGAGGAGGAATAACTGCTGCCACATTATCATCTCTTTCCGTGATCCCCAAACCCCCCTTTTCTCTTCTAGTAACCAAGACAAGCTCCCATCTCAAATGAATCGAAAGAAAGTAGATACTACTCGGAGGAGGCTGTCTCATTCCCAGCCAACTATCTCTGACTTTGATAAAATGCATCTAAATGTCTTTCCAAGGCCAACCAACCGCCAACTCTGTCCAATAAAAGGAGGCCACTGAATTGCACCAGGGCAAAGGATTCCTGCCTGTTATTTTAGGTCACCACCATCATCACAAATTAACACTACTAATGTCTAATTTCTTGAAATCCACCCCCCAAAATAAGATGTTTGTGACTGAAAAGACAAAAGGATAGACTTATGATAAAGCAATTGTAGTAACTATGTTAATGTTAGAATCTAGTGAAGTTATATGGGTGTGCCTTGTATAATTACTTTAATATTTCTCATGCTTGAATATTTCAAGTATAATATCATGGGAAAGTTACAAAGAAACAAGGACACTTTGATACAGGAGAAAAGATGAACAAGACTTTCTTAATCCTCTTGTTTGTGTAGGGTGCACTGTCCAGTTCCTAGGGGTCTCTGTTTCTCTTTACATTTTGAAGAAGATATGAAATTTAGCCCTGTGATTGCAAACTCTGGTACATAAGAATCATCTTATTGGCCGCTGCGGTGGCTCACGCCTGTAAATCCTAGCACTCGGGAGCCGAGGCGGCGTGATTGCTCGAGTAGGAGTTCGAGGACACCTGACAAGAGCGAGACCCCGTTCCTACTATTAAATAGAAGCGAAATTAATTGCCAACTAAAATATATATAATATATACAAAATTAGCCGGGCGTGGTGGCCATGCCTGTACCAGCTACTTGGGGCTTGAGGCAGGAGATGCTGAAGCCCAGGAGTTGAGGTTGCGTGAGCGAAGCTGAGCCACAGCATCACTCTAGCCGGAACAAAAGCGAACTCTGTCTCAAAAAAAAAAAAAGACCATCTATGGGAGGTAATTAAACATAAATTTTGGAGATCTAGCTCAGAGTCTGAATTGAGTGGCATTTGGTATAACTTTTGTAATGAGCTCTTCAGGTGAGTTTGTAAAAACCATCCACATAGAGGAACACTGTCTTATACTGTGATAAAGTGAAACCAATTATATATTGTAGACGCAGACATCCATACTTCCTTGTCTGATTGATGGTGCCAGGATTTAGAGACTAATATGCTTCCATTAAAGAAATTACTCCCTTACTGTTTCTTAAACATCAAAGATCAAATAAAGACTTTATGCTTCAAGAGGCAAATACTTGTAGAGGAAGCCTTTTTGATGGGCACATCCAGACAGATGGCACTTCATTAATGAATAAAACAACTTGAAATAGTTCACTGAATGAGAACCTTGTTTATGCTGAAAAGTATACCAACAAAAAAAAGATGCATTTAACTAGGTTTTGAAGATATTCCGTTTTTCCCTTTAAATTTAATGAATAAGTGAAGAAAAGAAAACATTCAAAAGAGAGATTGGGAAAACATGCTTGATGATTTTAGACATCAAAAATTAATGTAGTGCTACTTTTCGATGAGAGTTTAATTTTTCAGCAGCTCCAGTCAACTTGTCACTGGGTCTTATGTATCTGTGTTAGCACAGTTAGGCAATAATGTGATACAATGTCGGATCATAGATGCTGGTCCTAATAAGCCACAGAAGTCAATGAAAGGACCATGTCACAAAATAGAAGGTCATGTGTGCTACTGGAAAGAGATACAATTAAAGTGTTGGGAACTCAGAGCATAGAAAATGACTTTGGTTCAAAAGTCAGTATGTGGCAGTTCAAGCTGGATAAACGATACTGGTTTGGACATGCAGAACCAGGAAACGATGGCAGAGGGTTATTCAGGCAGAAGGACAATATGGAAGGAAGGCAAAGGAAATTGCCACCAGGCACTGTGAATGGAGGAGGCTGGACAAAGAGTAGTCAAGAAATAAGCTTCGGGCAAGTTTCGAAGGCCTTAGAAATTCAGGCTAAGGAACTGGACTTCTCCATTATTGTAGAGGCAATGAGGCAAACCAGAGAGTTGTGGCGAGGATGAATGATCAGAGCTTTTTGGGGACGTTTTTCTAGCTTCCTTGAGCAGATCGCGTGGTTATAAAATCCAGGTAGGGCCCCTTCAAAAGTTCAAGAGCAAGGGACACTAGGCTTTAAACTTGTACAGTAGTCATGGGCTGGCTCCAAGAGGAACCTTGATGGAAATTATGAAGTAGGACTGATGTTGGAGATTAGGGATCTCTCTTTTGCCCTGGGCGATGGAGAACGGAGAGGTGTACAGGCCCACCACGGAGGAGGATCCGGACCCCGTCAGAGGCCCCCGCAGCGGCCTCGCTGCCTTCTTCTTCAAGGGCCGGCTCCGGTGGTACCGGCAAGTTCTCAAAGTCTTGCAGCTGGTGAGTCGGCGGCCCGGGAGCGTGAGCCGGGCTGGGAAGGAGGGTCTGGCCCGGGGGCCGTCGGCCTGCGGGCTTGGGGGGCCGCCGAGCGGCTTCTTCTCAGCCCGGTGGTTCGGCAAGCGGCCGTTTCCACACCCTCGGTTCCCTCCGTCCCCGCCGGGGGAAGGGGGCGTTGCCTTCCGCCCTCCCCACCCCGCTTCCGCCGGGCGGCCCCTCGGCCCCTGGTCTTTCCCCACCAGAGTTCCCGAAGACGACTAGGGCCACCGAGCGAGTTAGGCGGGTCCAGGAAATGCGTCGGAGGAGCCCCACATCAGCCACTTAGACTTCCTTCACTCATCCTCGGCAACTGCCTTCCTCTCCTCTCCCAGATGTGACTCTGCATTGTCACCCAAAGTGCCTGTATTTAGACTGCAAAGTACTTTCTGTTTATCTTTCTCTGGCTCTTGCGGTTTTCCTGTTGCGAGCACATGGAAGCAGTTTAACTTGGACAGGCGCTTCCCATATCACGCATGGCTTTGAGATGTGTGTGTATAGCCAGTAAATTGTCTTTCAGAAGTTTTGTATTCATTGGAAAAAAGAATTAATTTCTGAGTGAGCAATGTGTGTGTTGGAGGTAGGAAGGACAGCTCTTTGTGTGTATGTGCGGATAGCATGTCTAGGGCATGGTATACGTCTCTTTCCATATCTTTTAGTTTCGATTTATTTTAAGCAATTAAAATGCCGTAAACCTTTTAGAGGAAATATCAAAGTTCTTTTTAGATTTCAGTTATAGTTTATATATTCGTGTTGAGCTGCTATTGTTGTACTGTTTCAACCAGTCAGGAGCAGCGTTTTCTACAAGAGGACCAGTTTGGGAAAACTCAGAATGCTTAGAATGTTTATGGGTTTTGTGTTATTTATTTATTTATTTTGAGACAAGGTCTCATTCTGTTGCTCAGACTAGAATAGAATGCAGTGGACAGCTCACTGCAATCTCAGACTTCTGGGCTCAAGCCATCCTCCTGCTTCAAACTCCCGAGGAGTAGCTGGGACTACAGGAAGGTGCCATCATGCCCTGCTGATTTTTCTATATTTTGTAGAGATGAGGTCTAGTTATGTTGCTGAGGCTGATCTTGAACTCCTGGCCTCAAGTGATCCTTCCGCCTTGGCCTCCCAAAGTGCTAGGATTACAGGGGTGAACCATTGCTTCTGGCTGGGTTTGTTTTGTTTTTTAACCATCCTAAGTAAAAAAAATAGCTCATTGGTTTCCCCGGGAAGAACTTAAATTCTTACAACTCAAATGATCAGAACTTAAATTCTTAGAACTCAGATGACCTACTTTTATTGAACAGAAAACAGAAAGCCTGGCACTGGTTTATAGCCACCAAAATGGCCACATCTGGGAGTGACTGGAAAATCACTTGGAGGCAAGTGATAATATAGCCAATGGAACCCAAGAAGGTCTGGTCCTGTCACTCTCCAGCCTCCCTCTAGATAGTTCCACACTGGCCACCTTTAATTTTTTTTTTTTTTTTTGAGACAGGGTCTTACTATGTCTTCCTGGCAGTGGTGGTGGCCTCGTCTAACTCACTGCAACCTCTAACTCCTGAGCTCAAGTGATCGGTGATCCTCCTGCCTTAACACCCCCCCAACCCCCAACCCTCTCGCCCCAGTAGCTGGGACTACAGGCACTCACCACCACACCTGGCTAATATTTCTATTTTTTGTAGAGATGGTGTCTAGCTCTTGCTCAGGCTGGTCTTAAACTCCTGGCCTCAAGCAGTCCTTCCACCTCAGCCTCCCTAAGTGCTAGGGTTATAGGGGTGAGCCACTTCACCCAGCCCCTGCCTTTAATTTCTTAGCAGCGATCAAGGTAAGAAATTCCCTCCTGCTACTTCCTTTGCACAAGCTGTTATTTCTCCCCAGAAGTGCTTCCTTCTGCATTTCTTGTCAGCTCTCACAGGATTGTTAGATATCAGCTGTATTTCTCTGCAGTAAAGCTAAAATGTTTCTACATGAATGAATAGTAGACTCTTTAGAACAGAATATTCATCCAAAGCATTCTTGATGCTCAAAAGACATCATCTGTGTTGGTTTGCTGCCCATGAAATTTCATATTTTAAGTTGCTTTTATTTTTTCTCTCTAATCAAAAGTGGCAAAGCTAAAGTAAAATTTCTCATTACCTTATTATAGTTTAGTAAACTATAGTTCCATATCTTTGGAATAGAACACAACCAGATTCCTTCCTTATTGCCAGAATAAAAGAACAAAACCAGAAATTTTGGTTAGATGTTATACTTGGACATAGAAGGGAAGATGAATTTGTCTTGAAAAGATTGTTAGACTATTCCTATTTGTTCTCCATCATTCAAAAGGAGAAATGGGGAAAGAATAAAAACTAATGTCTCTTTATGAAATCCGTTTATTTATGGGGAGCTTGTTACAAGAATGCCTTCTTTAATATGGAGTTTTAAGCCGGGCATAGTGGCTCATGCCTGTAGTCCCAGCTACTTGGGAGGGCAAGGCAGGAGGATCACTGGAGGTCAGGAGTTCGAGACCAGCCTAAGCAAGAGTGAGACCCCCATCTCTACTAAAAAAAAAAAAAAAAAAAATAGAAATTAATTGGCCAACTAAAAATATATAGAAAAAATTAGCCGGGCTTGATGGTGAATGCCTGTAGTCCCAGCTATTCGGGAGGCTGAGACAGGAGGATGGCTTGAGCCCAGGAGTTGGAGGTTGCTGTGAGCGAGGCTGACACCACAGCACTCTAGCCCAGGCAACAGAGCGAGACTCTGTCTCAAAAAAAAAAAAAAAAAATACCAAGTTTTAAAAATATTTTTTCGTTATTACCTTTCACTTTGATGATTACCTTTTTGTTCCTGCTTTGTCTGTTTTAATAATGTCTTCTCTCTTCACAATAACAGAATATTACAAGAGTTACCTGGAAAGTCCCAAGGAAGTTACATATGAAGTCAGTAAAAGTTGTCATCCACTCTGAGGCAGTTGGCAGGGTCTTCTTTGCCTTAACTCAAACTCTGCCTTTAGGTTGGTTGTTTTACTTTAGATGTTTCATTTTAAAAAACTAAGTAGAAGTGGAGAGCTCCAATAAGGAGATAACTGTAATGGAGAAACCCATAATCAGAGGAGGAGGTATTTTAACAAGGGACTTGCAAATCCTATGAAAAAAAAATTTTTTTTTCCCACATCAGATGAGTAATGTGTTGATGGCTGAACAAGGTTTGAGGGAGGCACATCGCACACAGGCGTGTGAAACCCTAGTCATCATGCTTATGAACTACGAAAAGATCCCCTGTGAAATTATATTCAAAATGTTGTACATGTATATGTTTGGGTACATTATTCTGGACCCACAGATCTTAGCAGATTCTCAAAGATCCCAAAAGAGAAAGGAAGACTTCTCTAGAACTTAAAAACCAGATCCATGTATGTGCTTAGGAAATTATTACAATCATAGGGCGATGAATTGGATTACCTCTGAGGTTCTTTTCACTCTTCAGATTTTTTTTTTCCAAATCTCTGAGGCTCCATGGGGTTTGCTGTAACACAACTGTACACCTCTGAGGTCGAGAGTGGAGCCTACACGCACACAGGAGGAGATGTAATTTTATAGCTTTATCTGCCATTCAGATGTGACCTGAATTTTGTCAAAACTTAAGCATCCCCTAACTACCATCCACCCTTCTAGAGCTAAAGAACAAATACTCAGTTGAGAATTCAGTGTAAGGAGTTACTGGAGTCCTAAATTTATGCAATCAGTTTTTCAGTTTATTCTATCCTTGGATCTGACCTTATACTCATATATTTTTTTTTTTGAGGGAGTTTTTGTTTTAAGGGGAGAATTGACATTTGGTAACCTAATTGCTTGCTAATAAGCTAGTGCAATGACCTAAATATATGTAATTTTCTCCCTGCAACAAACTCCCCATTGTGTCTGTCGTATCAGTTGAATGTCCTTCTGGCTGCACAGTGCTGGAATTATAATCATTCTTCAGGCAAGCAGTTTTAGGATTCACCAGTGCTTTTCAGTATATTACATTTTAAATAATGTTATTCTGAAAGTACCAAGAAATAAATCACTTAGAAGCAGTTTCTTATGTTGATGGCTCTTTTCATTATTTCAGTGTGAAAATTGATACGTACCAAATCAAAATGTTCTATTTTTTCCTTTAAGAAGATCCATAATGTCAGCAAATTATATCTTTGAACCTTTGTAAGAATAAATATTTGCCTCAGGCAAGGGAGGCCTAATATATTTCTTCAAACTGAGAGATGTTTTTATTTGAACCTTACTATTATAACTATAAGCTTTTTAATAGCAAGTTCATTAATTTATAAATTCATATAATTTTTAAGGTGGAGCCTTATAATTAATGGCAAACATTAAAAATTTTTATATAAAAAATTTTAAGTAGTAGACTGTTAAAGATAAATGATGGAGAATGAGTATTTAATATAATGATGGTTAATATTAAGGAAGAGTTGAATTTTCAGAAAAGGCAGTGAAACTGAAATGGAAAAAGATACAGGGTAGTTACCATCTGAATGTTTAAATCACTAGAGCTGTGAGTAAGACCATCTTTTAGTCACTGAGACTTCCCAAATACGTTGACTCTAGCAAATTGCTTTTAATGCAATTATGATTTAATAGCACAAAGGGAAATATACAAAACTGTGGCTATAACTTCAAAAACCCAATCTAAAAGGAAAAGCTATGCAAACATGCATAATCAAAAAATGAACTTAATAAATGGTGTTTCATGTGGGGAGCAAATACAGAGTGGGTTTCAGGAGACGTGGGTTCTTTTGTCTATGCCTGGATAACTTAGGACTTAAACCTGTCAGAAGCTTACTTCCTGTAAACATGGGAGTTTACAGGAAGTAAGAGTCTCCCATGGGAGACTCTGCTTTCCAGGGGCCCTCCCAACTCTGAAAGCTTGATAATTTCCTTAATTATATTTGGGTAAACTTTTATGTCATTAAAAGGAGCTACATTGAGTAT